ATCACGCCTAATTTGTCTTCCGTTGGTAATTTTCAAGTATCAAAAATTCAGGTGTTCTCATTTGAAACGCGACGTGGCTCGTTCACGTCAGAGTTGGACAGAATGTCTGTGGACTATGTTTTACCGTAAGTAGTACCTTTTTCTGTTTTTCATTAGGTACATTACAAATGGAGTTTGTTTGAGACAAAATAAGCTTCGTAAAATCATACCGGCGCAATCTCTCTTGAATTCTTTGGGATTCTGTATTCTTTTCATGTTTATTTCTTGTTTCGATCCTCCTGTACCACTATTCGGGGGCGGGGAGGGAATTATCGCATGTCTCCCTATCAACCAATTGCCATTCCGTACTTTCAGTATCACCAATCGTTCACCGGACTTCGTGAATCCGACGTTCGTCTCAACGGCAGGACCGTGGTTCGACTACGTTGTTGATAAATACTCAGGGTAATATTTACTGAATTTGAATTCCACTTTTTCTTGATTGTTTAGAGGCTTGTAGCAATTTTGGATTATCAATCGAGTTCTGGATCCTTTTACTCCGTTTTTATTGTTCATTTTTTCGGGACAGCTCAAAAATATACATAATTGTAGCACTGAAAATTCTTCCAAAATTGGAGCTGCATCTAGCAGTGATCCATCTGTTGACCGTACTTTTGAGGCATTTGTGAGGTTATTCTCAGAGAACAATCACATTGAAGCTGCTTTTCAACATCCAAACAACCACTTCCTTCATCTCCCAGGGTTGGTAAAGTGTCTAGGGAGGATACAACACTGACTTGTACATCGGCTGGCTCCCTCAAGTCATTGTATAGACCATCACCGCATTCACATGTCACTACGAATGTGAAGGGAAGTAGAATGCATGGCGCATCAAAAGAGATTGATCAACGCTGAAGCTTTAAGGACCATTCTTGGAATCAAGAAGGGGGAACCTGAAAAGAATATGGGCAAATAGAATAGTTTCGAAGATCCCTAAAAGGTAGTATGGTTATTGCCTACTGTTAAGGAACCCTCCATCGTACATCACTGAGAAGGGAGAACGATACACTTCTGTATTGCGGCATTCGTGGATGTTCGATTGTAAACAGACTGTCAATAAGGTGATTATTGATTTTTCTTCCAAATTTATTTCGAACTTTACGTAGTCCGTGAAGCTTTAGCCGCTTTTTATCCTTTCTTTCTCTTGGTAAGAAGATTGAACGTGTTATTTTCCTTAGGCTCTCCGTGAAATCGTCGACCGCGTTTTGGAACAAGTACGAAACGTCGACGCGGTTTATCCCGATCGTGTGCAGATATTCGAACCTACTCAACGCTTGGTCGAAGCGCCTCCTCTTAGCTCAGCCTCGGAGCCCTCCCCTTTGAAACGTTATTAACTCTGAATAATAGTGGGTTAAGTTCTGAAATCCTTTGCTCTAATGTATTATTCGTAGATTTTCTACAGTACTCTTTTCCAGTCTCAAAAGAGCTGTTTTTGCCGTGCACAGAAGAGGGCCATTTTGTCCCACGTCGACGGATTATGTACGGCACCGTGTATGGAGAGAAACTTACCCTGTACTTCTACAATTTCATGCCGTCGTTATCAGCATCGTTGATGAATATGGTGGCCACCGTCGGTGAGTGCCTTTCTATGTGCGGCATTTATTCAACTTAAAGGGGAGACGGTATTCTGCTAATTTTGGGGTTTTTAAAGGAATTTCGGTAGGTTATCAACAACAAAAGCCATGGAATTACTACGTATCCTCTCCAACGGGTTTGAAACAAAAATCAGGTTCATTGTGCTAAAAGTATTCTGATAGAAACAAGAGTTCGAATGAGTTAGGTTCCCTGAGAGTACAGGTAGATGGGCGGAAAGCAGAGGCCGGTATGCCACCATGCGGGCAGTGCAATGTTCCGCTGCTGATTGACTTGGGCACCGGGATCAAGTCGTTTGCGGAGCGATCTGCGTCTTTCACGTGAGGTGCCTTTCGTGGAAGGCGCGGCGTGCCATTCTCTGTAGAGTGTGCACCGATCGCCGCGTTATAGGAAGCAATGTGCGTGTACCGCAGTTCAGTAAATCAACTGTGGTTCCTTATAAAGTTGCTACAACCATTTTTGGACCTTTTGTATTTGCGTCAAGACGTTTGTGTCAAGCTGCCACACTGTGATCGCAGCCAAAGTGGAGTGGCGTGTTCAGTCAAGCGTGGAGAATACTCAATATTTTCCTGATGTAGCAGCTATGCCTAATATAGAATTATGTTTATAAATATGACCAGAGAGCTACGATTTGTCGAGGTTTTTCACTGTAAAGGATTCATTCCGTGTATAGAATGATTCATGAAGAGCTCTAGTCTCAAAGAAAGAGATTTGTGATCAACAATGATGAGTTCTTTATACAGAAAATGTAAACGAAACCAATCTTCCACTGGTCCACTTGAGAGCACTAACAGTAGCCGAAGATCCCGTGTGCAAACTTCCATATACTTGCTGCCGGGTTGCTGTAAGTGTTATTGAGGGTTAGCTAAATCTGTCATTTTTTCATTGGGTTTATAACATATGTTTCGTCCTTTTGGGCTACATCCTTCAAAAAGCGAGAAAGTGTCGGGTGCAGACCAAACACCACAACTGACGACGGCCTCCAAGTAAATCTGGTTAGAAGTTGTTCATAGTGATAGCTGATTTCTGGTAAATGATAGTTGTAATTAGTGACAATCGATAGAATACAACTGCAACAGGCTAATCAAACGCATTTGGCGAGCAGAACATTAGGATGTTTTGAAGGCCGTCGTTCACGGTGTGGTGTATGCCGTCTGCACCCGACACTTCCCTGCCTTTTGTTGAAGCGGAAGGGTAGTTATACAAGGAAGTGTGTGGGAGGGGCGTAGGGGCAATCGGATCACAACACCTTGTCCTATACAGAAGTTTATCATCGCTTAGAGGATTGGATGTAATACATACGTTGCGCTTCCTTAACATGTCCTCCTTCACTCATTTATTATTCTCATTTTTTTTGGAAAATCTGTCGACCGAACAGGGGAGAGGGGGAGGGAGGTAACGGGGCAATCAGGGGATCATTTCTCAAGTGTAAAAATAATTTTGGGAAACACGGCTGGTGTATTCCTATGCGCCCTCGCCCCCCCCCCCCTTCTCCAAGGAAGTCACATTCACTTCCACTTTCTGTAGGCCTTCCAGGTTATGTACATTATAGTGGCAGGTGCCATCGCATGTCGGGCGTTGTGTTTTTAGAGTACCTCACCAGCATCTCAACCGCGTAAAAATCTGATTTTTGTTGAAAGGGACTAAGCTTCAGGCGGGGACAGAGAGGCTCCAGACCGCGTGAAAGATTTTCATTTTTCCTGAAGTTCCTCTTTTTCCATAGGCTTAGTCCGAGGATGCCCCCTATCGTTGCGATAGCGCCTGGTTGGCCACATCTCGCTCCTCGGGCTGAAGCTTCTCCAGGTGATCGCGTTTTACCTCTTCAGTGCCATCTGTTGGATTCTGGTTTTAGTCTGGTTGATTCTGTTTGGGCAGGGTAAAGCCACCATTCTTATATGGTCTGGGCTCTCAGCTTTCTGGTTGTTCTCAGAATACGGGGGCTATAAGATCTCTATCATTAGAATCTCTATCATCGTTATTCTTAGCGAAGTAAAGGTAAGACATGGAGAAATTCGAAACTATAAAATAATTCACATTCAATGAATGAAGTTCGTAAGAGAAGTTTCGTATGAAACAAAAGTGGAAAAAATATAAGACCATCTAGCGACTCTCATCTAACTAAGCGCTACCGAAAACTAACCCGTAATTTGTTCTGAATCCCGCTGTTGGCCACAATTTTGGGTGCGATTTCTTTACAGAGCTCGAGTTGGCGAGGAGTATAGTAGAGAATTTCATGGTATCGGCACTGTTCGTCAACGAACTGTAAAAGAAGCCCGTTTATACTGGTCTTATGAAAATAATGGATTTATAGTACATTGGTCAAATCCTCGCCGCTTTCCAGAGCGAATTCTGCGCCTTGAACAACAACTTTGCAAGAAGAGCAAGAATTTCCGTAGGCCAGTTCAATGAGAGAGTAGATGATCGATAGAGCTGCGATTATTGTCACCATATGTCTGAAAGATTCTATATTTGGAATTTGAAAGGAGAAAGGGCAGAGAATTTGGCGATGGTCAGTTTTCTGGGATGCGCCACGCATTCTACTTTCATCAGAGTCGCGGTGGCTTCTTGAATGAGATCGCAAAAAAAGAAAGGGAAATGTACAAATCTGGAAATACTTGTGTAATAATGAACACACTGTGCAGTAGTAATGATTTCAGAAATAAAAGGCAAAAATAGAACACGATAGAATGAAAGTAAAGGTAGAGATTAAAGCTCGTTGTTCTCGAAAATGGAGTTGGTTTGTAGTTGTTTCTTGTTCATTATATGATTTCAGTAATGGTGTTAATTATTTCTCACGTGTGCCTTATGCAAACGTAATAAACTTATACTTACTTAAAGGTAAACTTAT